TGAATTTTTAATTTTTTTGTACGAATCATCTCATTATAAATTTCTAATATAATAAATTTATGTAGGATGTCCTATCCTATATCTCACTACTAGGATTTTAAATTAAAAGAATTAATGTAAAAAAAACATTACAATTAGGTTTTAAACGTTTTTTTCTCGAGAAAGAACTTCTTCATCCCCTCATATATAAACATGTTTTAATATATAACTTCTTACAACTATGATTATTATACAACACATAGCAAAGTAAAATAATTATTAAGAATTATTGAATTTTAATACAAATTAATGCAGGCAGAAACAGAGGATAAAAATTTTATTACAAGTCAAAAACTTTAAAAATTAAAAACACCATAAATATAAAAAACTTAAAATACTTAATTTTATTCCTTTATATTTCCTATTGCTAAATGGATATTAATTCTTTACATAGAAAAAAACTAAAAGACCCTAATAATATTAAATAGAAAAAATACACTAATATATATATAAAGCTACCACGTCATATAAGTTTAGTTAATTATAACTCAATTTTTAATTGACCTATACACGAAAGGATAGTGGGTAGACCAAGAACACATGAAAAAGAAAGAAAAAAGTACAGGAGTTTCTCTTTGCTATGAGTAATTCAATCTCGCCTCAACATGTCCCGGGTTTGGCAAGACCAGCTTTGCATGTACCGACCCATTAACCAACATAATTACAATACAAGCTTTGATGCTCGCTTTATTACTGGTTCAAGCCTATTAAATGTGTTTCATAACGTGTTTCAATTATTTTTTCAAATTAGAAGGTATTAAATTACTAATTTTAAGATTTTTTTTTTTATGATTCTATTATGCTATGTTAAAAGTTTTAAAAAAAATATAAGGAAATATTATTGAAATATATATTTTCAATTAAAAAACATTTTAAATATTATTATTTAATTTCATGACAAACACACAGAAATTGTCGTTGCCCATGTAACCTCTCTCTAACCAAATACCTCAAACTTTGAAGTCATTGCTTTAGCACAATGACAGCTTTTCAAGATTTACAGTTTAGCAATTAAATTTGATACTTCAATTCAGAATGTTTCAGGTCTAAAATTTAAACTGTTTGGTGTAGATTCATGGGAATACAAGAGCTGTTTCATGTATGTGGGATCCAATGCTTGATTGCTAGATGTTTTGATGAAGAAAAAAAAATCGAAATACAAAGTTAAGGATTCTGTAATATTAGTTCTTAAATCGAACACGTATTATTGGAAAACATTGAAACCAAAAAAAAAAATCATACGTACATTTATTAATCTGTAATTTTCATGAGTAAAAACAATGAAAGAAATTAATTATTAATATAAACCATGTATTGCTGTGTGACTGTGTCTTCTTCCCCCTCTAAGACATGTTGCATTCTGGAGGAAATCCCTGGGGAAACCTCTTGGCATCTGTGCAATAATTATATATCATGTTGTTCGTTTGCACCCATTGAAGCTTATCAAGATCTGCTGAATCAAGATCCTCTGAAAGCCAAGAAGGAGGGGAGAAATTATTTGTATCACAAGAAGATGCACCATTGAACCAAACACAAGCATTATTAGCATTGAAGTTCGTATAGGAGGCAGTGAAAGGGGCTTGTGACCAATCAGTCTTGACGAGACCACCTCTTGTAGCCCAGTTATCTGCATTCCATAAAGTAGAGTAGAGTCTCATTGGTTGATACTTTGGAAATGGAACGCCAATTGATTCCATGTTCTTGAACTCCCTAATAGGGGTGCCATCTACAAAGAAGCTGACACAAATGAGAAGGAAAATGTTAGCAAAACAAAGAAATTTAAGATAACAAAAGGAATATATATTGTAATACTGTTTAAGAGTACAATAATAATTATTTTTTAAAGTATTTTTTATTTGAAAATATATCAAAAAAATATTTTTTTTTAAAATATTATTTAAAATACAATCCCAAACTCTCTAAAAACATATAACATATAATATATTTATGGGAGCAAGTGTTAGCTTACATGATTCTTTGTGGGTTCCAAAGGATGGAATAGGTGTGGAAATCAGCAGTTGGATCAAACCAGAGATAAAATTGTTGCTCCTTGTCGCCTTTGCCTTGGCTATACACGTTAGTATGAAGAATGTAAGGATCTCCACTCAAGTTCCCCAAGAACTCAAAGTCTATCTCATCCCAGGCCGACCCTTTTGATTGTAACTGAAAATTATTACACCAACAGAGATTAATAACACCAAGAGAAAATGTTAAATTTCTGTACTCAAAATAGTCATTAATATTAAGAAAACTTACGTAGTAGGCAGTTACAGTGCCAGCAGAGTTGCCAGGGACAAGCTTGAGTTGCATATCAATCTTTCCGAACAAATACTCATTCTTGGATTGGAATCCTGAGCCAGAAGCTTGGTCAAGATTGAGATTGAGAAGCTCACCATCGTTGAGTATCATTGCACGCCAATCTCCCCATATAATATCAAAGTCCTGGTAGAAGTTACCAAGAGATGACCCCATCAAAGAAGCAAGTGTAAACAAGACCACTACCACTAACATTGGAACTCTTGAAGAAGCAAGAAAAGAAGCCATTGAGAGAGAAACTTAGAGAGTTTTTTTTGCAAGAAAATTAGTTTGTTTTGAAGTGAGGAGATGGCGCATGATTTGGTGGGTATTTATAGGAGAAGATGTGGCAGTGGATGAGATGTGCCTTGGACGGAAGGTGCATTTCAGCTGTGGCCAGTTGGACAAATGTTGTAAGGAATTTGGCTGTAACCAATGACAAGCACAGAGAAGTCACTGAACGCGGTTTTGCATGGATAATTTTGATGAAAATGATGGAGATTAATTGGTGGTTTAAGAGGCCCGGGTTTCTTCCAGCAGGCATCAAGCTGTTGATTCGTTGGTCCACTGCTTCCACGCACCGTGTTTTTCTTACCTGGACCACCACCGTCGCCAACGAGTCGATGGTGAGCATGCAGTGGATTAATTGGTATGCGTATCTAAGCAGTAAAGTTGCTACCATATATATATATATATATATATATGAAAAACCAAAAGTAAAATAATAGTATAAATTATATTTTAAGAATTTGCCATTTTTAGATGAAGATGGTTTTTAATGTGACATCATAATCGAAATTATTAAACAATACGTATTCTACTTTCACAATGCCCATTTCCCGGTCATGAGTTATAAATTCAGCCTGACGTTGATCCGAACCAAGCCCCCAGGTCATGAATTTTTTTTAGTCATTATCCAAATCAAGCTTAATTTTTTCAAATTAAAATGATATCATTTTAATTTAAAAAAATAATCAACAGATTACAGCTAAATTTTTAATTGGTTTTGCCATCTGATCATCTAGGTTTTTTACTTTTTTTTTATTTTTTAAAAGTCATCCGATTCCAATTTTGGATTAGTCGGGTTCTGGATCGACTTGTCGGATCAGGTTTTAAAACTATGATTTTATTTGTTTGCTTTAAAGCAATTCAATTTTATAAAGTGATTTTTATAAAAAGTAAATTCTTGAAAAAATAATTATTTTTTGATATTTGAATAATTTACAGTATAATGAAAAATAAATTCAAAAATATTTTTTAATTTTTGGCTATACCATAGAAAATAAACTTGAAGATGATTTATTATTGTTTATTTTTTTTCAAGTTTACCTAACATATATATAGAACATTAAATGTAACTATTTGATGATTTACAATAAAAAAAAGGAGATACAATAAAGTGTTAATGGTGGGGAAAATGAATTTATTATATCATATATTTATATAAAAGCTTAATTATTTTATAAAATGTAACTATATAAATAATATAAATATTTTAAATATAATATTATAGACATATAACCTTATTAAGTAATTTTAAGTAAAATCTATTGATATTATTTCATTTTAAAACCTCAAAATAATTTTTTTTTCATATTGAAAAGGAAAAATTAATTAATAGTAATGGTAATTTAAGAGTTAGATATTTGGGTTTTTTTTTTGGTTTGAAGACTTTATACCGAGGATAAATAGATACAAGAATTCGAGAGGAAGAGAAATGAAGGGTTTTTTTTTTTTTTATGAGGCTAGCAATCGGAGGAGATAAGTGTTTTTTGGAGATGAGAAAACGAAAACACTTTCCTTCTGGAAGGATTTTTTTTTTTTTTTGGAAACCATTTTCTTAAGAACTACTTTCCTAAAGTTCACCAAACATGAAGAAGTGGAAAAAATGGTTTTGCAGGAAAATATTTTTCTATAAACAAACAAGGTATAAAAGTAATTTATGATACAAAGGAGTGCTAGCGTGCGCACTTGAGGGGGAAGCTAAAAACAAATGTTTGAGGGGTGTGTCGTATCATGTTAGAAATAAAGTACTTATTTTAACCTCATCTTTAACAAATATGGTATACTTATGAGAAACTCTTTTTTAGTTTGCGAGATGATTTGTCAAATTATTGTGATACTAACAAGAGGTAAAAAATAAAATAAAAGAGAGCATATAACAAAATGCTATTTATTCAAGAAATTAATGATGAATGATTGTTTCTGAAAAAAAGGGTTGATTATTTTTTTTCTTGATGAATAATTGAAAAGATTAGAGATTTGTATTTGATATTTTAGTGCGTTTTTTTTTATTTTAAAATATATCAAAATAATTTTTTTTAATATTGTATACATTGAAAAAAATAAATATAACATTAATTATTTTTTTAAAAGGAAAACACTTATGAAATATACTCATAAACAAAAACTACTCCATTTCCGATCAATACCTTAAGAGGAGAGGATACATTGATAGCAAGCTTAGAAGGAAAAACCAGAACCAAACCATTATAAATTTATGATGTCTGCAGAAAAGTCTGATCAGGACTGTTCATCGTTCGTGCAAACTGGTAATAGAAATCAAGTGTACAACATTCGCCGAAATATGCGTCCATTCGCAGAAAAATAGCGAATGTCAATATATTAACTACAAAAAAAATTCCCATCAAGCAATGGCTGGTCAATGAAAGACACATTAATCTCGCAGAGCTCCACTAGCAACAAACTTGTATCAAGATACATCATGTTAAAGCTGTGAATCATGAATTATTTCAAAACTATAGGGATAATTAGTCAATTTCTATTACAGTAATAATATCTTACACAGCCAAAGATGCATTCTCTTGCTGATTACAGGATATGAAATCGGCAACACCAAACCTACTAGCAAGATTCCCAAAGTAAGTGCAAACACCGGACCTCGCAAGATTCCCAAGGTAAGTGCGATCCAAAAAGTTGCATGATCAACCCATTTCTTAAGCCTGCCACAATTCATAAGCCAAAGTTACAACCAACAAAACACGGATTTTTACCATTGTTTCCTACAAAACACTATGACCCTACCTTGCTAGCAATGTTGTTGGAAAGCCAGTCAAGCCCTTCGTAAAGACCTTCACCAGAAGTGGCACAAGTGCTCTGGATATACCTGCAACAGACATAAATATCAGATGACATCAATGAATATTAAATAGAAGAAAACTATCCAGAATTTTGCAATGGAGATATTATCAATTACCAGTGGCGTTGACGAAGAGAATGAAGACCAAGCTTATCTGTGATTTCAGCAGCATTCATAGCATTTGGAAGATCTTGCTTGTTTGCAAAAACAAGTAGCACAGCATCCCTCAATTCATCCTACTCAGAAAATTAAATTTCATTATTAAGATGCGCAAAACCACGAGAAAACATTAAGAACTAAGGCTTATGGCTACCTCGTTCAACATCCTATGCAACTCATCCCTAGCTTCAACAACACGGTCACGATCATTGCTATCAACCACAAAGATGAGCCCTTGAGTGTTTTGGAAATAATGTCTCCACAAAGGTCGAATCTGTGCAAATTAGAAAAACAATTTGACAAACAATTCTTTTTATCAACATAAAAAAATAAGATCCAAGATATCGTTGAATGCAAGACACAAGGTGTTGACTTGAGGAAAATTTTGTACAAAAGCAGTAATTTTTTAGTACATAATTTCAACAATTAAAGCTAAAATTACATCCTTATTTGATCAACATAAGAGATAAGAGAAAAGAGTATACGACAATAAACAGGGAAATAGCCAAGGAAATGTTGATAGAGAGACTGGCAACTCAACTATTCATTTCTTAGACAATTCATTAAATGCATAGAGAAACATGCAAGCAATCCCATTTACGATTCCGGATATGTAATTACACCCCAGCTTGGATACCATTACCTCACAAAGACAAAGGAAAAAACTGAAAACACAAGGTGTCTTCAGTAATGTAGCTTCTGAATATGTTATGAGCTGGAGGAGGCCAAATAGCCAGCACAAGACAGTCCATAATCATAGATAGACATTCCTCACTCCAAACCAAAAAAAAATTCAACCACTGAACATTCACAAACACATACAATGAAATGCCTGTCATATCATGGATAGACATTCCTCACTCCGAAAAGAGCAGAAAAATGAAAGACAAGATTGCTCCGGCCGATATAGCTTATGTTTTTGTTGTTTGCTAATGACAAGCATCTAATCAGCACAAGACTGCCATGAGAACATATGCATAACCAAAGAACAGAAACTTAGACAACAAAGGCATGTAAATGTGTAAAATTAAGAAGACAGAAAGTCTATACTTCTAGAACTTCAGCCATGCAATGGATAGTTCTCCTTGTAAGAAAAAGGTAAGGTTGTACACTAAAGTGGCGAGATCCACATAGTTTATGTTTTTTGTTTTGATATGATGGAGAGATATCTGATCTGTAAAAGACCATCCATGAACACATTTACATCAAAAGACAGCAAGTACAAGCATAAATGCACATCATATCAGGTTTAGTCAATGATAGAGCAAAAAACTTATGAAGCAGTAACTTGAAAGGATAAAAATTTAACTCATTTCCCTAATGTCACCATTATACTCAGAGCTGATATCACAAGATAACAGATTTTTTCATACCTTGTCCTGGCCACCAACATCCCAGACAGTGAAGCTTATGTTCTTGTATTCCACAGTCTCCACATTAAACCCTGAAAGGAGGCTACATATAAGCATCCTTTACAAGAAAACACAATAAATCCAGTACTAAACAGCTCTATAGTACCAATAATATTTTGATAACATACCAATTGTTGGAATAGTGGTGACAATCTCTCCGAGCTTGAGCTTGTACAAGATGGTGGTCTTACCAGCAGCATCAAGACCCACCATGAGAATTCTCATTTCTTTCTTGGCAAACAGACGGCTAAAAAGCTTGGTGAATGAGAGCCCCATCTTTCCAAGTTCTTAGCTGCATCAAAAACAAATCACCAAATAAAAAAAAAACAACAATCAGACTTACAGAAATAGATCCCCATTACATCAACCTTAACATTTTATCATTCACACAAATCAATCAAAATAAAAATAGATAGATGTGCAAGCGAGGTCTCCACACACATCCTCTCACAAATACAAGCAAAGTCTTCTCTTTTTTATGCCATTTCACAAATCACACAAAATCCAATCCAATCCATTAACAAACAAAAAAACATCAAAAAATTTACACATTACAATGCCTGTCCCTTTCAATTCCATCATTTTCCTTTCATTATTTCGCAACAAACTTCATGATCTCCCTTTTATCCATTCCAACAAACAAAAAATGCAAAAGGGTCATAAAAGAATTCGACAAACACCCCTAAAACAGATCCAATCTAACATGGTTCAGATCTATGAACCATTCATAACAAAACCAAAAAAGATTTTTTAAAAAAAAAAACTTTAGAACCAAATTAAGACTACTCAAGTTCTACAGTAACAACATCGACAACCAATATAAACATACAGAAAATCAGAGAGAGTTGGAAAAGCTTACAGAGACGCAGAGGAAGAGAGAGGGCAGGATCCGCAGAGAAGCTGTGCAGAGAGGGGGATGAAAGAAATGGGAAAGAATGACGGATGGCCTGTCTATGTGCGCTGGGAATTTAGATATGGATGGAAGTTAGTGGCGTTAATGGGTTAACGACGTTAGTGTCAAAGTGAGATTTTTTGTGGACCCTACATTTAATTTTGGACTGTCGATTTATTATATTGCTAATCACTAGTAATTTATTTTCTTATTTTAGCAGCGGATTCTAAATTTACCTTATAAATATCGGATTATTTTCACTAATTGTTTTATTCTATTTAGTTTTCTCAGTCAATTTTATACTTAACTTCTATAAAAATTTCATGTTAAAAATCTACATTTAATTTCGATGATTATGACCATTATAAATCCCCATTATTTTCAATTAAATTTGCTTGTTTTATATGTTGAATTTCAATTCAAAAGGGGACAGCTAGAGAAAAAAAAAGCATAAATTTCTCATTTAAATATGAATTATTATTTTTATATCTATTTATGTGAGGTCCACAATCAAGTGTTTCATGATTGTTTAAGAAACAATACAGTGCTTAATTCATAATTATATATTTATTATTATGGTAACTTTTCCATGTTTAACAAAAGAGATTTAAAAAAAATATTTTTAATTATAGCTTTAAAAAATATATGAATGGTTAGAACTATTTTGAAATTGATTTTTCAAGTCTATACGAGAGGAAAAGCTTTCAATGTTGTGCGTGTGTGTGTGTGTGTATAGTAGAGGCTTCGATGTTCTGGAGAATCTTGTGATTGAGAAAGGAATATTACAGTGGGGTAAAAAGAGGGAAAAGGTAAAAGAGGGAAGGCATAATTGAATGTGGCCAATATGCCTGCCAATTGGAAGAATATATTGCCATGCTCATCTTCCTATTGCATACGTGAGATTCTGTCTGGACAGCATGGTCTGGTCAAGATCTCCACCAGAGAAAGCGGCTTTTGTTGTAAGCATTCGTTCCTTTCTTCTTCTTTTGACTTCTATGTGGCACCTCTCCTGTCTTCTTTTCTACTCAATCTTGCTACTTGAACCTATGGCACTTCTGTCTATCCATCCTGGCAAGAGCAACCTAGAAACTGAAACCTGAGCGGCAACACCCGTTGCCAACAGGAAGGCTCTTGATTTTTTGTAAGAAAAAAGAGGAGTTTGGACAAGAGCTTCAAATTCCGAGGGAGAAAAAACTCTTGTTGAGGGTAAAAAACGATAGCTGAGATGTTGCTGCAGAAAGTTTAAGGAATGGATCCATAATCCTTGCCTTCCATCAGAGTATCTTTCCATGAATGATTCTGTAGAATTCACAAGTCAAAAGTACATTTATCTCATCTTTTAGATTTTTTTAAAGAGGGTAAGAAATCATTCATTTCAACCTCTACAAACTTATCAGCAATGCTAGTCCCTTCATATGCAGCGTTCCTTTCTTCTACAATCGATTCTAGCTTTCGAAAATATTGATAACACGACCGGGTCACGGTGTTTGATGAACAGATTGTTGCGCAGGCATTTTGGGCGATGGTCAAGGGCATCTGTAGGAGAAGTTACGTGGAAAAGATTGGTCGAAGCCAGTGCCTATATTGTATATACTTCCATGGAAGGAAGTTATGAAGAAAGGTCGCTCGTGAATCAACAAAACAAAAGCCGTTATCCATTTGCCAAAACAAAAGCCGTTATCCATTTGCCAAAACAAAAGCCGTTATCCATTTGCCAAATTTGGCCTTCATTTTTATTGTTGTTTGGGAGCTCGACAGACCATGGACGCACCCCGCCTCGAGTGTTGAGCCCGCCCACATCAACTACCGAAAAAAGTGGTTTCTTTTATTTAATAAAACAAGCATTATTTCAAACAAAAATTAAAAAAAAAAAACCTAAAATGATGCAAATTTTAAATTAAAAAAAAATCTTGAAAATAACCTGGCTGATCTGACTCAAGTCAAACTTTACAACATTATTCGTTCTAATTGATTCTTCAAGAGCACTAACTGATAAATCAATCCTCAACGGCAAGGTTCAACAACCACTAGAAAAGTGCACGGTTCTGCATAACAGAAAGTTCAGAAAGTACAGCCTGCGATAACCAATACTACAGGGCAAAATAGCTACTACAGACATCAAGCATTGGCTGGACAATGAAAAAATCTGCAAAAGCTCCTCCATCCTAACCTTTGAAATTACTTAAGAAACTGTGAATCATTAATTATTTTGGTGTATATATGGATAATTTGCCAATTTCTCTTACAGTAAGATTATCTTACAAAACCAAACAAATACATTCTTCTCTTGCCAATATTACAACAAATTGGAATCCTCGAACATCAAACAACCAAATAATATTCCCAAACTGAAGCAGAATGCTACCAAAAAGCTTCAGAAAACCCATCTCTTAAGCCTGCCACAATCATCACACAAAGTTACTTTTAACACGACCCAAACATTTTTTTTATCATCACTTCCAACAAATTATTATGACCATACCTTGTTAGCAATGTTGTTAGATAGCCAGTCAAGTCCCTCATAGAGGCCCTCACCAGAAGTGGCACAGGTGCTCTGGATATACCTGAAATAAAACACAGATTGGATGGCATATATGCAACAGCAAACTATCAACATATTCAAAATGGAGATATTATCATTTACCAGTGGCGTTGACGTAGCGAATGAAGACCAAGTTTATCTGTAATTTCAGCAGCATTCATAGCATTTGGAAGATCTTGCTTGTTAGCAAACACAAGTAGCACAGCATCCCTCAATTCATCCTATTCAGAAAATTAAATTTCATCATTACAAGACAAAAGCAACAAAGGCAGAAGTTAAGAAGTAAATCTTATGGCCATACCTCATTCAACATCCGATGCAGCTCATCCCTAGCTTCAACCACACGGTCACGATCATTGCTATCAACCACAAAGATGAGCCCTTGAGTGTTTTGGAAATAATGTCTCCACAATGGTCGAATCTGTGCAGATCAGATAAGTAAATTGAAAAACAATTCCTTTTTCATGAAACATGTAAAATATGAAAAGAATACAATACCCAAAATAACAAGGAAATAAGACAGAAGATGTCTCCTATCTCCTAGGCGATAGACTGCACATGAGCATGTGGTTTTTTCTCCACATGCTTCCAATTCAACTTGAATTACATCCTTACTTGATCAGCATTAAAGATAATGCAACCAAATCAATGCATTTCACAAAACATAATCAAACATTGATATATGATTTATGGTGTACACCACAGCAGTGAAAGCTTTTCCTCACAAAGACAGGAGAAACTAAAATAAAACTGTGGATTCATTAATGTAGCTTACGAATATGTTGTGTGCTGGTGGAAGATAACTAGCCAGCACAAGACCGTCGATAAGCACATGCACCTAAACAGCCAAAAACTTCAAACCAGACAACATTTACAACCATGGACAACAAAATGTCGCCATGTCATGGATTGTCATTCCTCATTCCAACAAGGGGAAAAACATGAAAGACAAGATGGCTCTACTCATTATAGCTTACGTATTTCTTGTGTGCTAATGACAAAGCTTATAATCAGCACTAGACTGTCCCTAAGCAAATAGACAACAAGGGTATGTGCAAGGGCGCAAGTGCTTAAATAGTAAAATTTCAGCCATGCAATGGTTATCTTTCCCCTCATGCCGAAAAAGGAAAGATTGCAACATTAACTGGCTAAATCCATGTAGCTTATGATTTGATTATGCGCTGAGGGAGCAATATCTAACCAGCACAAGACCGTCAATAAGCAAATTTTAAAACCAGATTAAAGCACAAACATGAATAGTGCCATATTTAGTTATTGACTAAAGATTAGACATTTACAATGCCGAGAAAACAATTTGATGCATCTTCATGATATTGTAATTATACCCAAAGTTCTCATTACAATTTACAGCATTTACATACCTTGTCCTGACCACCAACATCCCAGACAGTGAAGCTTATGTTCTTGTATTCTACAGTCTCCACATTGAACCCTGGATAGAAACAGACAATTAGCAAGAAAAACAAGAGCACAATAAATTCACTACTAAATAACCTTAAAGTAATGGTAAGTTTCGAGTAACATACCAATTGTAGGGATAGTGGTGACAATCTCCCCAAGCTTGAGCTTGTACAAGATGGTGGTCTTACCAGCAGCATCAAGACCCACCATGAGAATTCTCATTTCTTTCTTGGCAAAAAGACGGCTAAAAAGCTTAGTGAATGAAAGCCCCATCTTTCCTAAATCTCACCTGCATCATATAACCCAACAATCAATCTTTAAAAAAGATCACTTTAAAATCCATTATAACATTTTCTCATTCACACCAAGGAAACAATCAAAATCAAACACTCCATGGAAGCAAGCAAGATCTTAAAACACATTTGCTTACAAACACAAACAAAATATTTCCTTTTTAACAACTCATACGACACTAGCTCCAATCCATCAGGGCATTGAGAATCAACAATAAATCATAAAGATCCAAGCTTGTATACACAATAAAGTCCGTTCCTTTAAATTCCTCTATTTTCATTTCATTATTTCACACCAAAGCCAAATTTATAGATTCATAATCTTCTCAATGTCAATACAGCAAACAAAACAAGCAAAAGGGTCATTGAAAAACTTAACAAAAACACCAAAAACAGATCTAATCTCACAAGGATCAGATCTAGGAACCTTTAAGAGAAAAATAAAAAAGACAAACTATAGAACCAAAACAAGACTAATCCTGTCCAAATCCAGATCACGATCTACACATAACAAAGGTAATATATATATATATATAGAGAGAGAGAGAGAGAGAATACTTATAGATAGCGAGCGAGAGATTGAGAGAGGGCAGAGCAAACAGAAGCCGCCCAGAGAGAGATCAAGGAAATGGGTAAGAGGGAGGCTCAATCTATCAACCTGTGCTTTAAATATGGGTGTGGTGAGTTAACAGCGATAGAGACTAAAAGATGTTAGGGTAAAAATTAAGATCAATTGGTGGACCCCAATTTTCACTGGTTTGATTTATTAACATTGATAACCAGTAAAAACAAATTCTTATTTTATCTTAATAAAATACTCTTGTAAATTCTTTTTTTATCCGATAATGAAACATAATTTTAAATTAATTTCTACATAATCAAAACTAAATTTAATATTCAAACTATTTTAATATTGTTAATGCTTTAACAATGTGTGGTAAAAACGAGATCAATGTGCTGACCCCAATTTTCTTTCGTTTGATTTATTAATATTGATCACCACTTATTTTTTTCTTTTTTCTGTTAATAAAATACTCTCATAAGTTTCTTATGCTCATGTAAATATATTTTTTATTGGATAGTAGAGTATATTTTTAAACTAGCTTACATATCAATCAAAATTATATTTTATTTATTTCAAAATTATTTATTTATTTATGAGTAGCATTACGCGATATAATTTGTTAAAAGCATGAATTAATAAAGGACACCGAGAGGGACACCTCGCAACACAAACACACACACACTCTTCAAGTATGCTTGGCGAAGAATATCTTGACTCATGCGGTTTTATATTATTTTATAGATTATGGGATATCTTAGAATTGTAAGTTTAAAATGTTTTTAATATTAGAACGATATAAAAATATAAAAAAATATTATTTTATAAATTTGTTTTAGGGAACGCACTGCTTTTCCAACCATGCTTTATGTGTCTACAGTTTGGTTTGGTCATCCTTTCAGCCCAAGAAAGAGATATTAATCTGCATAGCTTGAAAACCATGGAAGGAAATATTATATTAACAAGTCATACTTGTGTCTTTTTGTTGATGCCTATTCTTATCCCCCTCGCACACTCGGAGATAAGTTACGTGATGTTTAGAAATACGGTAATTCATGTATTTTACTTGAATTTTAAGTAAAAAATACCATGCTCTACAATATTAAGCGCACAACATGAGAAATTCAAAATAAAATATACAGAATAGTTACATGTGATAAGACTTTTTTAAAATACATCAAAGAGAATATGCATGCCCAACTTAATACTGTTTGTACATTTATACAACATTGAGACAGGACACAAATGCTGGCAGCCATGCCGCCAAGTCAGCAACACCAAACGAACTAAAGCTGCATGCATGTGTGTGTGTTTATTGACTGCACAGGAAACGTAAAATCCACAGCACAACACAACAAAAGCCAACAAACAGGAAAAATAAAACTACAAAGGCTTTGGATTGACATGATCCACTTGGAGTACTAGCGCAGGCCAAGGATCTCACAAATTGTTTGTACCAAAGTGAGGATGAGGAGGATAGCTGCAGTAACCGTTCCAACACCTTTCCAAAAATTTCCGAAAAACTCCTCTATAAAGTATGCGGGGTTTTTGGTCCAGGAGCTTTTATAATACTCATCCACCGTCGAAAGGATGTCATGATAACAGGAATGGAGATCAGTCATGCTTGATCCAAGACTGTAAATCAGGTCCCTCACTGCAACTTCGTCTTTGTAATAAGTTACAATTTTATTTTTCATTAGGAGTTTCGCGTCTTGAGGCTTGACAACAAGAATACTTAATAGGTTGATGTAATGGCAGATGTACTCTTCTCCTGGATAAATGCGCTTCTCCATGGTCATAAGGTTTCTGAAGAGACGTTCAGTGTTGCCGTCTATCTCAAGCTGTGGTATGCAAAACTCTGTTCTCAATCTACTGAATTCTACGTCAAGCAAGCAGTCAGATGCTGGTCGATCCTTAAACTTAACTCCTGCTTGGCGTAGCTTGGTTGCACTGTGAAAGCTTTTGATTAGTTCTACAGGCTTGCCATTTCGAGAGAAGGATAGTAAAGATCTTACCAAATCAGTGAAATGCTTTGGTGTTGTTGCTGCAGGAGAGAAGTTACTTCGAAGATAGGGTTTAAAATAGGAACAAGCAAGAGTTATAAATTCCGTGTGTTTTCCTTTAATGTTTTCTGGAAGTTTTTTATATAATTTCTCAAGAATAAAGAATGGAAGCTGATTTTAAACAAAATCAAGTCCCGTAGAATCGCCAGCCTCAACCCTGTTACTTTCAATACAGAATCTTTTTTAAACTCCTCTCTATCTTCACTGTACTTGAGGAATAGCTGGAAGATGAATACAGCATCGTACAGAATCAGATCCAGAAAGTCTTCAGAATTTTCAATTCCATGGGAACCATCTTCATAACGTTGGCGGATCTTATTTTCATCTTCTTGCAGGGCATCCCAGAACTCGTCCTCGGCCCTTTTCCGTTCGCTTTTTGACACCCTGTCATTCCAGAACTGTTCATAGTATTCATACTTTTTCCCTTCCATGAAACGCAGATTTCTGTTGCCGTGGTGAATAGGGCCTATAGAAATTTTTTGAGGACTGTACATGGCTTCATTTGATTTGCGAAGTGCCTCGCCAACTCTGTAGATGCACACATCACTCTCTTGTTCATTTGTCAAAGCTACTCTAGCATGACGGAGTACTTTTCCATGCTTAACAAATTGTTGTGCATTGTATGAATTTCCAGAAATATCTTGATGAAACAATGCTTCAGAATGAATTTCAGTATTATCTGCAAGGTAGTCTCCGGCTGAAGAATAAGGTGGATGAATTTCAGCATTATCTCCTTGAAAGTCCTCTACGCCATACGAAAAGCACGGCGAATGAATATCAGAATTATCTCCATAGTGATATTGGTCAAGTGAAAAATATGGTGAACGAATTTCTCCCATCTATTGCACTTTGCTGCCTGGATCATGATAGATAAACGAATCATTATTTGCCAATAAAAACAATTTTTCAAAAATTAAGATTATACGACAAAAAAAGTTAAATTATTTTCTTAATTAAAGAATTAACTAAAAAAGTAATGCGTTTCAAGTTTTTGCTCCTGTAATCAAAGACAATAGTAACATTTGCCATTAATATTTGCTTCTCAAGAGTCTGACTTCTAGCCTTGTTCTCAAAATGAATAAATTATAAATTAGTCCCTACAAATAAAATGAATTGAATAGTGTCGTTCTAAAAACTAATTAAGTAGTGCGTGAACATTAAGTATATTATAGATCCGTTAAATTTACATGTGACATCTAAAATAGTCTTTAAGGTAAAGGGGACGCAGGAGAGGCAAAAGAAAAGGGAAGGAGAGCTGGGTAGAGAGAAGATAAAAGCAAGGAGGAGAAGGGAAAAGAGGCGGGGGTGAGAGACGAGGAGGTAGAACAAAGCGATGGTTGTTGTGTTGGAGGGATAGATAGGTAGTGGAAAAGGGAAGGAAACATGAGAAGAGCGGAAATGGTTAAGCGAAAGAGAAGGGAGAGGACGAGGGAGACTTTTTGGTGACTTTATTTGTTTATTAAATTGGAAAATTTGAAATCTTAATCAATGACAAACCACATCCTATCTAAATAAAATCTAAAATGCACTTGAGTTCAGAGAGTTCAGAGGTGGAAGGGGTTTGTCTCTTTCTACTGTATCTAGGTTCGAGTCTTGGTATACATGCTTATCATCCCCGCGGTGCCTTACATGCCTACTGGATTTGCAGGGTATTTAGTGGGCCGTGGAAATTAGTCGTGGTGCGCGCAAGTTGGCCCGAACACCCCACGTAAATCAAAAAAAAAAACCTAAAATGCCAATATATGCACAAAAAAAATTATCAACGTATTAATATAATTAAATAATGAAAATATCCAGATCAAGATGAACCCTATCTCCTTCTCCTAATAAACAATCCAGTAAAAACCTCATTCAACTTGCTCGAGAGACACTGGGTAATTGATGATTCTGGTAAAATTATCATCCTTATCCAATTTATATAGGTTAGCGGGGCCATGAATTCCCCATCCTCTATGAAATGGCTTTTCTAATTAAATCAAAAGATAAAAGTTAATAAATTATTGATCTAGAGCTTCTAAATTTAGATTCCTAAACAACAAAAAGCCAGATTGTTTTTCTTTTTTAAAGAATATTTAGGTAATTTTCCCTGTAATTGTAAAACATGATTAAGGAATCCACCTAAAGCAAGTCCTGGACCCCAGATGATCCCAAAATCTTTTTTATTCAAATATAAAGGATCAAAGTGATTTATTTTAACCTAAGTTTTTTTTTTAAAAAAAAAAGGTAATAGGTTAAGGGTAGGGTTTTCATTGAATTAACTATTTTTTTAAATTTTTTTACATGGAAAAATATAAAATATATTATTTTATAAAATATTTTACGAAAATCAAATGCCCTCAGCAAGTACATAAAATTATAATATATCCATGACTCTCCATCTAACAAGCTTACTAGCTCCTACTTGTGTTCTTTTTAGCGATCGATCATCTTTTATTTTCAGGTCAGATTTAGCTCATCAAGACAAAGTTTATCTCTTCAATCTGATAAAAGACATCTTATCCACATCAAGATTTATATATAGATTCATAGATAATGTATAATTTTACTTCTAATTAACGACCTAGCGTGTAGTAAAAAAAGTAGCATCCTCCTTAACCTGCAGGAGCTACAATCGTCAGCTTTCTCATGGTGATTTTTTCAGTGAGGTTCATTTGAGACTTCTATGAGGTATCTTTAAAAACAATTTTCCTTTCAAAGCAGAGGAAATGTTAAAACTCGTTTCAAGTGTTGCACTTGCTAACTTACTAATTAAGAGCCAAAAGAAATTAGAACTGGAGTTTCAGAGTGAGATGCTACATTCATGACATCCCCCCTGAACCGTTCGTCTTAGTGAATCAACTATTATGGAAGGAAGAAACGTGGATGGAGAGAAAACAAAACTAATTAATGAGCGAACTAAGCAAACCAGAGCACGCACCTTGGCCTGTACTGGAGAAGGGCAATTAATTGTTTGGTTCAAGCAGCAGCAGTAGCAGCAGAGCCACTTTCCTTTCCTAGAAGCAATAGTACTGAGATGCTGTATGCAGCCTCTCTCACTCTCACTCTCACTCTTTTCGATTTGTGTATCTTTAGCTCTTCAACTCGATGTGATATATATAGTACTCTTTCCTTCGCTCTCATATATTGTTTCTTTCTTTAATCTTCAAGTAACTAGCTAGTTAGGCTAACTCCTTTGATCATTGAAAAAATTAATATGCTTGCATAAAATTTTCTAGCTAGTCTAATATATAGATGCCTAACCACCAAGTTTTGGGCTGTTAGTGAATTAATATAAAATTAAAATTGGAGTTTGATCGACAGCTTATGTTTTTTTTTCAGGTGAAATGATTTTTTTATATGAAATCATATTTTAAATAAATTTAAAAAATATCAGCAACGAATTCTGGAAATTTTAAGCTCTTTCATAAGGCATTATTTAATAAGGCCTCAGCAACGAGTTGGATTCCATATGGGCATTCATATCACTAAGATTAAAGCCTCAGCTACGAAAAAGTTTTACTTATATCTAGTAATTTATAATCAATTGTAGCAATGATCAGCGTTGGTAACGAATTGTGCACGTGAACGATTAAGGGCGTAATGGAATTTTTTAATGTCGGAGCCGCCGGAGTGCTTAGGTGGTGGAATTTTTTAATTAACATGTCACTACTACTAATTAATTAACGAGGTTGCTGTCGATTTAAAATTAAATTATTAATTTTTTTTTATTTTGGTTGGTATGATTAATTAACTTCAACTAGAAACTAAAAGAACCGAGAGCCCCCCCTGATTTTAATTTGGTCTTGAATATTTATTTTTAATTTTAAATTGATTTTTATAATTTTTTTACTCTGTTTTTTATAAAGTTATCACATTAAATAAATATTTTTGTATTTAATTTATTCTTAATTTTTTTATTATCATATCATTAAGTAAAAATAATATTATTTAATTCAACAAAGAATATGATATAAGTTGCGATTTTGATGGGTTAAGTTATGAAACTTGAATTGATTTAATAAGTTTAAAATTAAAAAATATCATAAATTGTTTTAAACCAAATCACTATATTTAAATATATCAAGTTAAGTAGAACATATTAAAATAGTTTTTATTTGGATTAATTTTAAATTTAAGTTTGATTAGGACTCAGGTTGAAAAATTTAGAAATAGCTCAAAAATCTGATGCCAAAAACTTGAATGGCTGGATTAAACTTCTAGAATGATTTGATCATAAACATTAAGTTGGATTCTAAATTTCACGTTCGAGACAACTAGATTTCACTGCTATATTTTCCCCAGCATTCAGTCGGTGCTATATAAGAGATGACGCCGGTGGCTCCATGTGGACATTCATATCTCTAGGAATAAAGCCACAGCTAAGCACAAGACCTATAAAGCACGTAATAGATTTTTCTAATACCTGAGCCGCCGGAGTGTTTAGGTGGTGAATTCTTTTCTTTTCTTTTCCCCATTTGATTAACGAGTTGAAGAAAAGGAGAATGTATGACGGCATCGCATGTGCTATGGCAAAGGTAATATAAAATATTTTAGGAATAATAATAGTAGACTAAACTGTATCCAAGCCCGTAACCTATTGGTTGAAGTTGCCATTAATTAGTATCTGAATAAAAATTTGACGTCATTATCCTTGAGTAAATTGTTTAATTTATTTAGTCCATTCGCCTGTTCATCCACTCATCACAAAATACCAAAACTTAATTAATTATCAAATTCAATCGTAATAGTATAATAGGGTAATAGTATAATAGTGTGTACAACAATTCTTAAAATATCATCTTTGTTGTTACCTAATTTTTAACTAATTTTTTTGATAAAATTTTAGAAAAATCCAAAAATAGTGAACAACATGAAAATCCAAAAAAAAATTAATATATTTATATTTTTTTTAGTATTTTCAGCAACATCTCAAAGAATTTAAATTTTCAAGAATCTTAGGAATACATTTGATTTTTAACATGTTATTTTTAAAATTATTGATTTTTTTCATTCAAGTTAATGTTAATAAGAAAAATCCAAAAAACAATAAAAAAAATCAAATTTATAAAAAAAAAAATTTAAAAACCAAACAATATTTTATTTATAAATAATATCCTTCAACACATAAAAAGAGATTTTTGAAATTTAGAAGAGTACCAAAAAAAAAATCCAAAACCTAAATTTTTCTCCTTAAGCCAAAAGAGCCGTGGCCCCCACTGCATAGATATATTTTTAAAAATGTAGTCGCCGTTCCCTCGGGGTCCTTGGCTTTTGCTCTCCCAGAACGTGAGAGTCAAGGAACCCCAGCCATATCAGACCCCTACATTTTTGCCCGGCCAAGACCTTCCCCCTCATTTGCGCAAATCTTCTCCCCTCCTCACTCAGCCCGCCACAAGACAGCCACTCACTCTCCATCCCAACCGTTCCCTTCAACCACAGCAGCAACCGAGCTCCTCCCTCACAAACCGAGACCCAGCTCTCCTTCTCCACCCAGCCAGCAGACTTTCCCTCTCAGCCAGCTCACCCTTTTCCTATCCTTCATGCAACTCCCCTTCATCTGTAAGGATTATGGACATCATCTATCTTTACATTGGTATGATATTGTCCACTTTGAGCCTAAACCCTCGTGGATTTGCTCTTGGGTTATATCCAAAAGGCCTCATGTCAATAGAGATATTTATCCATCCTTATATACTCTTATCTTCCCCATTTCTAATTAATATGGGACTTTGGTCACATACCCAACAATCCTTCCCTCGAACAAAGGACCACCGAGCCTCTCCTCAAACGATCATTTATCCATCTACTCTCTATCAACTAGGATTTTTCATTCTCTACTTCTCTTTACTTCATCGTGTTGGGGTCAGGACACGTCCATGAAGCATCCGGAGAGCACTACCTGACTTGAGAGTTTTTGCTCTTTTTAGGTCAACTCCTCTTCACCATGTTGAGATCAGGACACGTCTATAAAGCATTCGGAGCACACCATCTATCCAATAAAGCTGATTCATGGATTACATCGTGATTTAATTAAGGCTCACCACCTTTTGTTCAGCATTCCGAGGATTCATCCATCATGGCTAACTCTGGGGCATGACTCTGATACCACTTATAAAGATTATGAACACCACCTATCTCCATATTGGTATGATATTATCCACTTTGGCCCTAAGCCCTCATAGATTTGCTCTTGGGTTATACCCAAAAGGCCTCATGCCAATGAAGATATTTGTTCATCCTTATATACCCTTAATCCTCCCCATTTCCAACCAATGTGAGGCTTTGGTCGCATACCCAACATCATCTCCCCGAAGATCGGCCTTCGCCAAAACCAACATGATTTTATAGTTTTATTGATAGAAATTCCCGTCAATATTTACACTTAAATTTTGTGGGTAAGTTTTTTTAGCTATAGGCTCATGGATTTATGCAACCATTCTATAATAGTTGGTCAAAATCTTTTTTAAAAAATAAAAATATCAGCACGATATAATGAGTTGTAAAAGTTTTAAATTCAAAAATATTTTTTCATTAAACATTGTTTAATAAATTAAATTTTAGGTTATATGGTCATGATAGAGATCTCATCCAATAATTTAATTTTTTAGATAGAATTCAAATCCACTTAATTATCAAATTTAGTTGGAATAACATCTAAATTCATTACTAAGATCTCATTCAATAATTCAATTTTTTTGAATTAAGATGGTTTGTAACATGCTAAGATAGACTCTAATAGACAAACAGTCACAAATTTATTTCTAGGAACTTAATTTATTAAATGAAACTCTAATAACTTAACATGTTGGGGTCGTTGGCTTTTGCTCTCCTAGAACCTGAGAGTCAAGGACCCCCGCCATATCAGACCCCCACATTTTCGCCCAACCAAGAGCTTCCCCCTCATTTCCGCAAATCTTCTCCCCTCCTCTATCCCAGCCGTTCCGTTCCACCAGAGCAGCAGCCGAGCTCCTCCCTCACAAACCGAGACCCAGCTCTCCTTCTCCCCCAGCCAGCAAACTTTCCCTCTCAGCTAGCTCACCCTTTTCCTATCCTTCCCGCAACTCTCGTTCATCTCCCCGCAACAAGGCCAACCACCACTACCATCAACTGGAGTGAAGACCATCAGCGACGTCATCCACACCATTAGCCACTGCAGCGCTGTCCATACCTAGTCACAAATTCAACGTCGCTGCCACCTCTACAACCAACAGACCTGCCACCCGAAGTGGAGGTGAAGAAGACGAAACCCATAAAAAACCAACCCATCGTGAAGTAGATCCAAAGAAGGAGAAGGTTGTGAACTGATCTAGGCCAAAAAAAAGAAAAATTAAAATCAATTGCTTGTTGTGGTTTCGGTTGTTTTGCAGGTCATCGTTGATGTAGAGAGATAGAGAAGAGGAAGACATTCCTGATCCACTTGTTGTGTCACCTTCATCGATGGCGGTGAGTGAACCCACGCGCCGCCAATGGTGAAGGAGCATGGAACAACACGTTGCTACTAAGCCTTCCAACATTGTTCCTGTTGCTGTACCGTTCCTTATTCTATTTTTTAGGGGCTATTTTGTAATTTTAAAATTTTTAATATATGTTTTGTTTAGTTTGAATTTTTATATTTTTTTGTGTACAAAATGTGGATGTAAAAAAGATAAAAGGAAAAAAGAAAGAAAAAAAATATAGTGAAAGGGAATGTGTTTGTATTTTTTAATGATAAAATTGCAAAGAATAAATAAGAATTTCATATTTTGATTTGCTCACGATTACAAGTCGTATTTGTAATATCCGATGAAAAAATAAAATTTTTAAATTTTTTTTAATCTATCAAAGCTACGAAACAGCTTATCCCAAATAGAGTGTGCTAAAAATGCTAATACTTTCTTTAACCACAACTAGTCCTTTACCCGAGAATATTTTTAAAATAGCTTACATATCAATCAAAATTATATTTTATTTATTTCAAATTTATTTATTTATTTATGAGTAGCATTAAGCGATATAATTTGTTAAAAGCATGAATTAATAAAGGGCACCGAGAGGGACACCTCGCAACACAAACACACACACACTCTTCAAGTATGCTTGGCGAAGAATAGCTTGACTCATGCGGTTTTATATTATTTTATAGATTATGGGATAATTTAGAATTGTAAGTTTAAAATGTTTTTAATATTAGAACGATATAAAAATATAAAAAAAATATTATTTTATAAATTTGTTTTAGGGAACGCACTGCTTTTCCAACCATGCTTTATGTGTTTATAGTTTGTTTTGGTCATCCTTTCAGCCCAAGAAAGAGATATTAGTCTGCATAGCTTGAAAACCATGGAACGAAATATTATACTAACAAGTTATACTTGTGTTTTTTTGTTGATGCCTATTCTTACCCCCCCGCATACTCGGAGATAAGTTACGTGATGTTTAGAAATACGGTAATTCATGTATTTTACTTGAATTTTAAGTAAAAAAATACCATGCTCTACAATATTAAGCGCACACCATGAGAAATTCAAAATAAAATATACAGAATAGTTACATGTGATAAGACTTTTTTAAAATACATTAAAGAGAATATGCATGCCCAACTTAATACTGTTTGTACATTTATACAGCATTGAGACAGGACACAAATGCTGGCAGCCATGCCGCCAAGTCAGCAACACCAAACGAGCTAAAGCCGCATGCATGTGTGTGTGTTTATTGACTGCACAGGAAACGTAAAATCCACGGCACAACACAACAAAAGCCAACAAACAGGAGAAATAAAACTACCAAGGCTGTGGATTGACTTGATCTACTTGGAGTACTAGCGCAGGTCAAGGAGCGAACAAGTTGTTTGTACCAAAGTGAGGATGAGGAGGATAGCTGCAGTAACCGTTCCAACACCTTTCCACAAATTCCCGAAAAACTCCTCTATAAAGTATGCGGGGTTTTTGGTCCAGGAGCTTTTATAATACTCATCCACCGCCGAAAGGATGCCTTGAAAACAGGAATGGATATCATTCGCGCTTGATCCAAGACTGGAAATCAGGTCCCTCACTGCAACTTCGTCTTTGTAAGAAGTTACAATATCATTTTTCATTAGGAGTTTCGCGTCTTTAGGTTTGACAACAAGAATACTCAATAGGTTGATGTAATGGCAGATGTACTCTTGTCCTGGATAAACACGCTTCTCCAAGGCCACAAGGTTTCTGAAGAGACTTTCAGTGTGGCCGCGTATCTTAAGCTTTGGTATGAGAAACTCTGTTCTCAATCCTCTACTGAAATCTACATGAAGTAAGCACTCAGACTCACGGTCTGGTCGACGCTTAAAATTAACTCCTGCTTGGCGTAGCTTGGTTGCACTGTGAAAGCTTTTGATTTGGTCCACAGACTTGTCTTTTCGAGTGACGGATAGTAAAGATCTTACCAAATCAGTGAAATGCGCTGCCTTTGTGTCTGCAGGAGGGACGTTACTTTGAAGGTCGTGTTTAAAATAAATACAAGCAAGAGTTTTAAATTCCGTGTGTTGTCCTTTAACGTTTTCTGGAAGAAGTTTATATAATTTCTCAAGAATAAAGAATGGAAGCTGATTTTCAAGCAAAATCAAGTCCCGTCGAATCGCCGCCCTCAACCATGATTCTTTCAATTTAGAATCTTCTTGAAAGCTGCTATCTTCACTGTGCTTGAGGAATAGCTCGAAGATGAATACAGCATCGTACATAATCATACGCAGAAAGTCTCGAGAATTTTCAATTTCATGGGAACCAACTTCATAACATTGGCGGATCTCATTTTCATCTGCTTGCAGAGCATCCCAGAACAAGCCCTGAGCCCCATTGAGTTCCCCTGCCTTTGACACCCTGTCTTCCCAGAATATTTTATAGTATTCAGACTTTTTCTTTTCCATGGAACGCAGATTTTTGTTGCCGTGGTGAATAGGGCCTATAGAAATTTTTTGAGGACTGTACATGGCTTCATTTGATTTGCGGAGTGCCTCGCCAACTCTGTAGATGCACACATCATTCTCTGGTTCATCATTAGAAGTTGCTCCAACATGAAAGGGTACTTTTCCATGCCCAACAAATTGCTGTGCATTGTTTGAATTTCCAGAAATATGTTGATGAAACAATGCTTCAGAATGAATGTCAGCGTTATCTGCAAGGTAGTCTCCGGCTGAAGAATATGGTGGATGAATTTCGGCATAGTCTCCATGATAGTCCTCTCCGCCATATGAAATGTACGGTGAATGAATATGATCAGAATTATCTCCGGAGTAATTTTGGCCAAGTGAAAAATATGGTGAGCGAATCTCTCCCATCTATTGCAATTTGCTGCGTAGATGATAGATAAACGAATCACTATTTACCAATAAAAACAATTTCTCAAAAATTAAGATTATTTTCATAATTAAAGAATTAACTAAAAATATATATAAAAAAGTTATGCGTTTGAAGTTTTTGCTTCTGTAATCAAAGACAATAGTAAAATTTGCCATTAATATTTGCTTCTCAAGAGTCTGACTTCTAGTCTTGTTCTCAAAATGAATAAATTATAAATTAGTCCCTATAAATAAAATGAATTGAATAGCGTGTCTAGTTCTAAAAACTAATTAATTTGTACGTGAAAAAAGGAGCATCTTCCTTAACCAGGAGCTACTATCCTCAGCTTTCTCATGGTGATTTTTTCAGTGAGGTTCATTGGAGACTTCTATATATGAGGTATCTTTAACAACAATTTTCCTTTCAAAGCAGAGGAAAGGTGAAAGCTCGTTTCAAGCGTTGCAGTTGTAAACTCACTAATTAAGAGCCAAAAGAAAATAGAACTAGAGCATCAGAGTGAGAGGCTACATTCATGACATTCCCCTTGAACCGTTCGTCTTAGTGAATCAAATATTATGGAAGGAAGAAACACGGATGGAGAGAAAACAAAACTAATTAATGAGAAAATTAAGCAAACCAGAGCACGCACCTGGCCTGTGGAGAAGGGCAATTGTTTGGTTCAAGCAGCAGCAGAGCCACTTTCCTAGAAGCAAGAGTACTGAGATGCTGTATGCAGCCTCTCTCACTCTTTTCGATTTGTACATCTTTAGCTCTTCAACTCGATATGATATATATACACACACACACACTACTCTTTCCATTGCTCTCATTGTTTCTTTCGTTACTCTTCAGGTAACTAGCTAGTTAGGTTAACTCCTTTGATTATTGAGAAATTTAATATGCTCGCATGAGCATAAAATTGAGTGTTTAGGTGGTGGAATTTTTTAATTAACAAGTCAGTACTATTATTTAATTAACAAGGCTTCTGTCGATATAAAATTAAATTATTAAAAGAATGTTTTTGGGGTTGACATGATTAATTAACTTCAACTAGAAACTAAAAGAACCGAGAGAAATTAGAGTCCCCCTTCCCCGTATTTAGTTTCATCTTTAATATTTTTATAATTTTAAATTGATTTTTATAATTTTTTTTTATTTTTTTTATGAGGTTATCATAATATTAATTAAATATTTATATATTTGATTTATTTTTAATTTTATAACCGTATTTTTATTATCATATCATTAACTAAAAATAATTAATTTGCCAAACAATCCGGTTAATATTTTTATTATCACATCATTCGCCAAATTAAGTCAATAATGCTAGCAACATCCAAGCGCCCATTTTTTTCACCATCCTGTTTGATAATTCTATGAACTACTACGTAGAATACTGTTGTTTGTTTTGTCATTATGTGAGTTTGGGCATCCATAGAGGTCCTATTTATACTACAACCAAGGGTGAAGACAGGTTGAAGACTTGGGTGGGCTATTAAACCAGATGAAGATTTTATTAATATTTTTTTACTAGTTTTATAGAAAATAAAATTTTTTAATTTTTAATGGAATAATCAAAACATTATAAAAATTTACATGATGCTTTAACTTGGGTTAAAATTTTAAAATTTTTGGACAAATTCAAAAATTTAATGAAAAATTATAATTTGATCAATTTTATGTTACTGGACATAATTTTCAATCCGACCATCAGATTGAACTGAAATTTTACGAGGAATCTTAAAATATATTGAATAAATCTGGTTAAAATTTTAGGATGAACGTAGCTTGGTAATACTAACAAAAAAAGAAAAGATTGTCAAATAAAAGCAAAACGAATCATTAAGAATAAAATGGTTATTTGCCATTAAAAAATAAAACAAACCAGCTCTTTCTTCCTTTTATATGTTGCCGACTGGGCATAGGCAGAATAGAAAAGAAAGAAAAGAAAAAAGCGAGAGAAAAGTACGGGGGAAACATAGAAAAAAATCCAAGAAAAAAAAAGTGAGAGAATAACCTTGTAAACTTACAAAGTTCAACTTATAAAATACTAAACTATGAAATAATTAAGTGAAAGAATGAGGAACTGAGAGAACAAAAAAATTTTAATTACTTTATTTTCTAGTTGAAATGAAATTGTTATTTTATAACAGTTAAGGGATTGTTACAATATTAATTCAGATTCGATTATAGATAAATTATATTTCATAAAATATTGAAAGATGTAACTTTAATAATGAATTTATTTTTACTTTCATTTTAATTTTATGTACTTTTAAGTTTATTTTTTAATATTTTAAATAATATAATTGAATTAAAATTTTACTTATAACTTCAAAAATTTATATTCATGAATTAATAATTAATCTTAAAAAATATTTATATATTTATTTAATAATTCAGGGCAATAAAAATTGCATGCTCTGCCTTGACTGCAGTACTTTGGCCATTTCCATGATTTTATCTGGGTATCTTGTGCAGGTTCCATGATTTTATCTGGGAGTCCATTTAAGTTATTTGCGTGCCACCTTCTCATCAATGATTGCCGTCGAGTCCTATTTATTTTGTGTTAAACGTTGGGTGTATAAAGTAGTCAAAAGTAGGATATCCCGCTTTCTCCATTACTGATCCGTGACATTCTTTTGGCAGCCTCCTAGCACTCGCTGCTTGAGAAATTGAGCTACAGCATAAAATGTCGTTCATGCGGATGCTTGACTTGCGGTGTGCGATTTTGACTTCAAACACCACCAAGCAGTAATTTCGTGGTGATTTCCTCATGCATACTGGTGGTTTGCCAATAGTTACGTGCATTTGGGACTGTCTCTTCATACAGTCAACTGGATTTCTTTGCTCGACTGTGAATCATGGGTGCCTTATTGGGGATGACTTTGACACAGTAAAAATGAACAATTTTTTTAGTAAAAACACATTCAAAATAAACCAATTATTCTTTATAAAATATTATTTAACGGTTTGTAGAAGTGTTTGGCAGTATAAGTTATCATCTCATGATGTTAAAAAAATAAAGGATTGTTTAATATTTAGATAGTAGCTGATTTATTCATTAAGATAATCTTAAGAATTCTAATTGGATTAACAGTGAAGAGATATTAATGGCTGTAATAATTCGTGGCCAGGGCTGACCGGCTCCTGCTTTAGCTGTTCTTGATTATTTGATGAATAAAATTGATTCATTCATGAGAGAGAAGAATAAAGAGATACTTAATTCTTAAGGAACGACGATCTGTGGAGTCGAGCTCCAGATGCTATACAACGGGCCTCCTCGCTCCTCGATAGTACAATTCGATGAATCAATCAAGTTTGAAGAAATTGATAGGCTTACTGTTTGCATTTAAGCCGAAATTGTAGCTGGCAAGCATTATTAACGAAAGGTCTCTCCGTGCTTGGTGGCCGCTTCGTAAAAAAATTTACTCTGTGGATTTGCGATTAAACTTGTAAAAAAACTGCAATACTATAAAAGCCATATGTGAATTTGTGATTAAGAAAATTCATTATTTTATTTCTTGACATAATAGGTTCCAATAGATGCATCAAGTCTAAGGCTCCACAATCGCTGTCAGTGTTCCAATAGACATGTTTTTAATTCCTCTAAGTTGTTGCGTAAACTACTTTGCTTTTTCTTCACATCTAGACATGGAAAGTCATGTGTTCTGAACAATTGATTTGATCTTGTGGAATAAAAACATTTCTTTCTTTGCATTATGTTTGTTTTTTAAAATTTATTTTATATTTATTTTATATTTATTTATTATTAAAAATTTAATCAATAAAAAAAATATTTTTTAGTAAAAAAAAATTAACTTGGTTTCTAGAAAAGTATTTTTCTAAAAAATTTAGATAGAAAATACTTTCTAGAAATTTTAAAAAATATTATACTATTTGCTAATTATATTAATTTTATTTTTAAAATTTTTAATTTATATATATATTTTATTTTGAATATTTATTTTTTAATTTTATCTTTTAAAGTTTAATTTTTATATTAAATTTCATCTTTATTTTTATAATTGTTATTTATTTTTTCCTTATCATTTTTTTATTAAAAGTTTTTATGTATGAAATTTGATCCTTATTCTTTTCATTGTTACTTATTTTATTTAAAATAATTTGAAATAATTGTTATTTTATTTTTATTAAAAGTTCACTTAAAAATTTTCATTATCAACAAATGATAGGTTTACAATCATTCTTCCTTAGATTCAACTAAGGGATACAACATATATATCATCAAGAACAACTTATTCTCATATTACAACAAGATTAAAGGAGAATTATTTGAGAAAAACTCACAATATTGACAGCCCCAT